TTTTAAAGAAACAATTTCTAAATATCTCTTATACAAATAAACATGTTATATTTTACAAATGTCTCTCATAAAAATGAAGAGATGAAGTGGAACTTCCCGTTCGTAATATAAGAAGTTGATTAAGTTTTATCGTAAACTAATAAATGGTAGTTAAGTCATTGAATACTCTCCAAACGTGTGGATTTTCATAGTATGCTTGTTCCTTTATGGCTTCTCATCCGCCTACTGCAAGTCTCACTCCTCCACCTCAAATAATGATGCCCCTTATTTCAAACTTTCTTCTCACATAGCTGCAATCTCAGGAAGCATGGCTTGTGCTGTACTAATATCTGTGTTGGTTTCTAAACCTGTTTTAGCACTCATCATCGTTCTCTACTTGACGTGGCTCCTCATATATTCTTCCCCAAACCCAGTAACCAGGATCTGCAAGAAGATAGGCTCCTATATGTACGAAATGTGCAAAGGAAGTGAGCGTAACCATGGCCCAAGAGACAACCTGGAAGTTTAGATCATTCTGAAGTTGTGTGCGTGAACTGTTGTGATAAGAAAAAACAAGGGTTGGTCAATCATGAGACAGGTTCTGAAATCGCGCAAGTTATAATGCTATTGTACTGTTTTTCTGCCCCTATTAGATCCTCATTTAGAAATCGGTTTCTTCAGTGTATGAAAAGAAGATTATAGATTTACGCTAGCCTATATATGGAAGGCTTTCCTAATTATATTTAGAGACGCTTTTATTTACAACACATCTTCTATTGTTTGTTGCTTGACAAGCGCATGTTGGAACACATAAAGCAAAAGGCCACCATAAAATAGTTTTACTGTAACATTTGATGAAAGTGTTTATCCAAAATCTTTGGCTAAATTGGATTAGAATGGAGACCGGATTTTAGCAAAAGTGCCAAACTCCCGAAATCCTTTACAGTGATGCTCACGCTCGCTCTCTCTCTCTCTCTCTCTCTCTCTCTCGCTGTATTTATACACACATATGTAACTGTTTCCTATAGAACCCGTGGCGCGGCGGCTCTGTTTCTTGCGATGGGTCGCGGTTGAAGCTCCGATTGAGAGCAACCATTGGCGGCGCCGTTGCTCTGTTTTCTGTGCTCGAAACAGAGCCAAACAGAGTATGGTCATTAAATTAACAAAATTATATTACAAACTGATTAGCTTTTCGTTCTAATTCCTCTGAGAGATTTAGTATGGGATTGATGTTATTAAGATTTGTTCAACAAGCTATTAAGGTTATCATTAAATTATTGATAAGTAAAAAATATGAAATTATTTGAGATTAGGAATAATACTTGGTCAGGTTACTATAGAGTTTTAAACTAATAAAGATGTGAATTTTTTCTCCTATATGAGTATTATATTTATATTTATTCAATTTATATTTGGTATGATAGAAATGAAAGAAAAGAAGAGCAAAATTTTTTAATGCATTTGATTTTAAAAAATTGGGGAAAAGGAGGGTTATTAAATTGTAATTAAAAGATGTAAAATAAAAAATTAAAAAATTAATTAAAAAAGTCTTAGACTCACTTTTCTAATTTTAATTAGCGTAGAAGGCGACAGAAACTTGAAACAAATACAGAATCTAAACAACACCATAGACTAAAAGCCTCGAAACTGAAGACAAAAGGGCCACAATTTAGCCAACACCACTTCTATCAATAATATTAGATGACAGTAAAAAATGACCAACGGAGAAACAAATTGCATGGGGGTTTTGGGAATCATCCAGAATTCTTCTATTGCCATTAGATTCTAAGTTAGCAACTAGAAACTTTTTCAAGAGAGGTGGAGCTGCCATAAGCCTCCCATTAGGCGCTAAACCTCTATTGCAAACGGTTGCTAGATGATCAGCAAGCTTTATTCCTTGGCGTCCTACTAGAGAAAACATAATCCTTGCCTTCTTCTAAACTGATGCAAAGATCTCTGACTACTGGAACACACTACCGCTCTAAACCAGCAATAGAAAACTAAATATCTTAATTTAGAATTCTTCTTTTTTTATTTCTGATGAAAGAGGCATTATAGTCATTTCATAAAAGTTTCAAAATTAATTTTGGATTATATGATTTGATTAGAAATTTAACAAATTTAATTACTCAAATAAAAGTTTGGGTTATTGTGTTGTTTATATATATAAACAATACAGTAGAGGTTTAGCAGGTTTATGTCTTTTTAAAGGATTTTCCCAATTGCTAATTGTATTGTTTATATATATATATATATATATATATATATATATGAAAAGAAAATTATAGCTGTACACGAATCTATTTATGTGGAAGGCGTTCCTAATTATATCTAGGGACGCTTTTATAAATGAATGTCGGCTGATATTGTATTGTTTACTTGTTTTCTATTGAATATAATATAATTTCATGATCTCGTGTGCTTGTGTTCCGCTCGTCATGCTGGGACATAACATGAAATGTCTTTTATTATTTTATTATGAAATGCCTTTTTCTACTACTACTAGATTAAAGTATGCATTTAATTTTTTAACTGTATATAATATTTTAATTTGATCCCTTAACTTTAAAAAGTATATATTTGATCCTTTAATTCTAAACTTATACTTGAATGATGATTTTTTTTATCACGATCATGATTGGTTTAAAAATTCAACTTAATATATTAGCATTTGGAAATATTCCATTGAGATTTAAAATTTTAATATTATCATTTTTGTTAACACTGTTGAGTTAAATAATTAAAAATATACTTTTTAAAGTTAAGAGACTAAATTAAAAATCTGTATAAAATTATAGTTAAAAGACTGAATGTATATTTTGGTTATTATTATATTTTAGTTAAATATTCTAATTACCATTTTGTTTTGCCTTAATTACACACACCTCATCTTCACTTTAAAAACATATATTTTAGTCCAAATCATTAACACCGTTAAAAAATATTGTGAAAAGATTCTTGAAGTATATTTTTTTAGGGTTAATACAAATTTTGATCCCTCAAATTTCGACCCAGTGTGGTATTGGTCCTTGAAATTTAAAATGAGTGGTATTGGCCCCTCAAATTATGTTCGTTTCAAACCGTTGGTCCCTGGCATCTTGGTATCGTTAAATTTTGCTGACGTGGTGTTAACGCCGTTAACCGATGAGTTGGCATGTAGGTGACATATGACCTGCACATGGTATTGGTCCCTCAAATTTGGGGCCGTTTTAGTATTGGTCCTTGAAATTTAAAACCGGTGGTATTGGCCCCTCAAATTATATCTACTTCTAGCCATTGGTTCTTGATAGCTCTAGGCCGTCAAATTCATCTAAGTTGGCACTAACTTTGTTAACCTATGATATGGCATTTGACTTGGCAACTAAAGCTTGATGATGTGGCATGAGCAATGGAAGGCTATGGTCGAAGAGAACCTATGTAATCTGGGATTCACTTTTGCCAAAACACAAAGCTTTTGCTCCTATATTAGTGCAGAGAAAACGCAGTGCATTCTCGTCTAAACCTTCTACCTCCTCTGCTACATTTGGTCAAAAGGGTGACTTAACAGTTCATGAGAAGAAGGAGCCGACTTTAGATACAAAACCACCCCTATTGAAGCCATCTTCTTCTGATACAGACAATGATGAACCTTCCAAGAAAAAAAAAAAAAGGCCCATCACCAGAGTAAGAAGCTTGAGAAGAAGCAACAAGAACCTCACTGGCAACTCCAACAAGAAGGCATGCACGACCAGCAAGCCACCAGAGTCGCTGAGACCAGATAAGAGCAAAGCAGAGGGTTCTACAAGAATAAATAAAAAGAAGAGGGTCTAAAGCTATCAGGGACCAATAGCCAGAAACAGATATAATTTGAGAGACCAATACCATCAATTTTAAATTTTAGGGACCAATACCAAAATGGCCCCAAATTTGAGGGACCAATACCATGTCCAGGTCATATACCATCTACATGCCAACTCATCGGTTAACGATGTTAACACCACGTCAGCAAAATTTAACGATCCCAAGATGCCAGGGACCAACATCAGCATAATACACCTTTAAAAATTAAAGTTTATGATTAAAATAATGACATTGATTGTTCATATTTTTAACTATAATAAGTATTATTATTATTATGATTTTAAATTTTTTAGATAAATTCAAACTTAAAAAAAAATTTAGGTGCCCAATCCCTAGTAAGTAAAAATTCCTGGGTTATTTTGGGCTTCACGTTAACTTGACCCAATTTTCCAAAACTACCCTCATTGCTTTTTTTGTGTGTTGCACCATTTTCTCTGTTTTTTTTCCTCTCTCTTTCTGTTTTTTTTTATCTCTATCAATAACATGGTCATCTCGACATTTTTGACGCCCGATCTAACTACTAATCTGGCTTAGGGGCACATTTTCCAAGGTTAGGGATCCTATTTTCGGCTCAGAAAAACATTTCATAATTTAATGACACTTTTAGACAATAACATTTAAACAGCACATTGACTTGTTTTCTGGGCTCTCAGCAAAGTGTAACGCACCGCTCATGTTTTGCCCAAAATGCACAAAGGCTCGCTGCCCAGAACTGTCCAAAGGTGTCCACAAAAGTCTTGGGTAAGTCTGGAAGTCTCTAGAAATGTGTGGAGCTTGTTGGGAAAGCGTGGAAGGTTCCAGAATACTATAGATAATTGTAGAGACACCTAACCCCTTTGTAAATATCTAGATATTTTTGTAGAGTATTCTAGATACGACATTGTAACCGTTGGATCAAGTAGATCTTAGCCGTCCATTGAGGAGGTGGAGAACTATAAATACCCCCTCCCCCTCATTCATTTCACACACTCAAGAAAGTGAGAGTGTTGTAAGTACTTCAAGAGATCAATACAAAGTTCTTTCTTTGAGTCTCTTGTTCCTTTGTGTTCCTTCGTGAGTAGGCTGACTAGCAACTTAAGGCAAGAAGTTTGCTAGGCCGCACGGTTCGTTGGAATTACGACCAAGTCCGTGATAGTTGGTATCAGAGCCAAGGTTTTAAGATCGTTGGAACATAGAGGTAGATGGAAGGCGGGAGCGAGACTATCAATCTGTCCGAGGGAGTCAAGAAGAAATCTAAAGCCCAGAGATCTAGTTCAAGGGAAACCATGGAGGGTTTTGAGACACGGCTAGCCAAGGTGGAGCTTGCAATAGCCGATGGGGAGGAGAAGTTCGAGGAGATGGGGCAAAGCATGGACGAGTTCCGTGAGGAGATGCAAGCCGCCATGAACAAAGTCCTCGCCCAATGTCTCGACAACACAAAGGCCATGGAAGAGTCTCACAGGGATGAGGTTTCTTCGATCCGTGAAGAACTCGGGAGGGTCTCGCGCAAGTTGGAGAGTGCCGAAGAGGAGCTCATCTTGTGCAAGAAGGCTCTTGCACAAGAAAGTCCGTCAACGTCCGATGTAAGGACTACATCCTCTAAAGTAGATGTTCCACGACCTAAGGCTTTCAAAGGGACAAGAAATGCGAAGGAACTAGATAATTTTCTATGGAGTATGGAGCAATACTTCCGAGCGAACGTCGTTACCGACGATGCACTTAAGGTTAGCATAGCATGTCTCTACCTCGAGGACACCGCTATGGTATGGTGGAGGAGGAGACAAGGGGACATAGAGAAAGGCACTTGCACCATAGACACTTGGGTTGAATTCAAGGGTGAGCTCAAGAAGCAATTTTATCCTAGCAATGTTGAAGAAGAGGCTAGGGGTAGGCTAAGGCGTCTTCAACACAAGGGAAGCATTCGCGAGTATGTAAAGGAATTCACCGAGGTACTGCTTGAGATCCCTGACTATCCTGATAAAGAAGCTTTCTTTGCCTTTATGGATGGATTGCAACAGTGGGCTAAACTTGAGATCCAGAGACGTGGTGCTCAAGACTTGACCACCGCTATCTCCATTGCCGAGTCCCTTATTGAGTTCAAGAAACCCGAGAAGCCAAAGCCAAAAGACAAGGGCGGCAAGGGAAAGAGTGGGGGAGAGCATCACCGAGGCAAGGAGACCACGAACAAGTCGAAGGGTCCCAAGGAGTACAAAGCTGGAGAAAGGCCATCACTTAAATGCTTCTTTTGTGAAGGTCCACATAAAGCAAGGGATTGCCCAAAGAAGGCTAAACTTTCCGTATTGATCGAGGAAAGGGAGGAACGGGAACGAGAAGAGGAGAGAGTAGGATCCCTACAACTCCTCAATGCAATTAAGGCAAAGGTGGAGATGCCCAAGTCCGGAAGGAAGGGATGGTTGTTTGTGGAAACCGAGATTGGAGGACACACCGTCAAAGCACTTGTGGACACGGGAGCTTCCAACAACTTCCTTAGAGTGGAAGAGGCTAAAAAGTTGGGCATTCACTACCAAGGAGAACGTGGTTGGCTTAAGGCAGTCAATTCAGGACCAAGGGCTACCTTTGGAGTTGCTCGCGATGTCAAGGTAAGATTGGGCGATTGGAACGGTCTCGTAGACTTCTCCATTGTCACCATGGATGACTATCCAATTGTCTTGGGTATGGAATTCATGGACAAGGTTAAGGCCGTGCCAATCCCCTTTGCCAACACGATGTGCATCTTGGAAGAAGGTAACCCCCGACTAGTACCTCTAGAACGGGAAACCCAACTCCGAGAGAAGCAGATTTCGGCCATGCAACTCTCCAAAGGCATAAAGAAGAAGCAGCCCACATATCTAGTTGCTTTGGAAGAAGAAGCAGTAGCCTCACCAACTAAAAACCTCCCGAGGTGTATTGAGCATGTCCTAGAAGAATTCAAGGACATGATGCCGCCCGAGTTGCCCAAGAGGTTGCCACCAAAGAGAGAGGTGGACCACAAGATAGAGTTGGTGCCTGGTGCCACACCACCTGCGGCAGTGCCTTACCGTTTGGCGCCTTCGGAGCTTGAGGAACTTAGGAGGCAATTGAAGGAGTTGGTGGACATGGGATATATCCGTCCATCAAAAGCACCTTATGGAGCCCCGGTATTGTTCCAGAAGAAGCATGATGGGTCGCTTCGGTTATGCATCGACTACCAGGCGCTTAACAAGATCACGGTGAAGAACAAGTACCCAATCCCACTTATTGCCGATCTCTTTGATCAACTTGGCCAGGCTCGTTGGTTTACCAAGTTGGATCTAAGGTCGGGATATTATCAAGTACGGATAGTTGAGGGAGACGAACCAAAGACAACATGTGTCACGAGGTATGGTTCGTATGAATTTCTTGTGATGCCTTTCGGACTCACAAATGTACCAGCAACATTTTGCACCCTCATGAATCGAGTCCTACAACTGTTCTTGGACAAGTTCGTAGTGGTATACTTGGATGACATTGTCATTTATAGCAAGACGTTGGAGGAGCACGTGAAGCATCTTAGGCAAGTCTTCCAAGTCCTCAGGGAGAACGAGTTGTATGTCAAGAAGGAGAAATGTGCCTTTGCTCAACAGGAAGTAACTTTCCTAGGGCACATTGTTGGAGGGGGCAAACTACGGATGGATGAGTCCAAGGTGCGTGCTATACAGGAATGGGAGCCGCCAAGGAAGGTACCCGAACTTCGTTCTTTCCTTGGATTGGCCAACTATTATCGAAAATTCATCAAAGGTTACTCTGCGATAGCCGCTCCCCTCACTGATCTTTTAAAGAAAAACCGAGTATGGGATTGGGATGATAAGTGTCAAGCCACTTTTGAGGAGCTGAAAGCAGCCGTGATCAAGGAACCGGTGTTGGCCTTGCCTGACCACACCAAACCATACGAGGTACAAACGGATGCTTCGGACTTTGCCTTAGGAGGAGTCCTAATGCAAGAAGGTCATCCGGTGGCTTATGAGAGTCGTAAGCTCAATGATGCAGAACGGCGTTACACAGTCCAAGAGAAGGAGATGACGGCCGTGGTGCATTGCCTGAGAACGTGGAGACATTATTTGCTGGGTACCAAGTTCATTGTGAAAACCGATAATGTCGCCACAAGCTATTTCCTTAAGCAGAAGAAGCTTACACCGAAGCAGGTAAGGTGGCAAGCCTTCTTAGCAGAGTTCGACTTTGTGATGGAGTATAAGCCAGGAAAAGGGAACGTCGTGGCCGACGCATTGAGTAGAAAGGCCGAACTTGCCTCCATCACTAGCCCGAGTTTCCCTTTGGTTGATCGAGTTAAGGAGGGACTGAAGCAAGACCCACAAGCCAAAAGTTTGATGGAATTGGCAAGTCAAGGGAAGACACGCCGGTTTTGGCTTGAGGATGGGGTGCTCATAACCAAAGGAAACCGAGTGTACGTGCCGAAATGGCAAGGCTTAAGGAAGGAGATCATTAAGGAGTGCCATGACTCGAGGTGGGCTGGACATCCCGGAGTTCGACGCACGATGGCACTCATTGAGCGAGCATACTTTTGGCCCCAGATGCGAGACGATGTAGAGCTCTACGTGAAGACTTGTCTTGTGTGTCAGCAAGACAAGGTGGAACAACGCCCCGTTTCTGGCTTACTAGAGCCACTTCGATTCCCGAGAGACCATGGGAAAGTATTTCCATGGACTTCATCACTTGTTTGCCGAAGACAGAAGGATGCAGCAACATTATGGTGGTGGTGGACCGGTTTAGCAAGTATGGAGTGTTCATACCAGTCCCAACCAAATTCACTGCAGAAGATGCTGCGAAGTTATTCTTCAAGTTCGTGGTAAAGTATTGGGGCATACCAAAAACTATTGTGAGCGATTGGGACACTCGCTTCACAGGAAGATTTTGGATGGAGCTCTTCAAAATTATGGGGTCTGAACTTAACTTTTCTACAAGCTTTCACCCGCAGACCGATGGCCAAACAAAGAGGGTGAATGCTTTACTTGAACTATACTTGAGGCACTACGTAAGTGCTAACCAGAAGGACTGGGTTAAGCTCTTGGACATTGCCCAGTTTTCATACAACTTGCAGAAAAGTGAATCAACTGGGTCAAGTCCGTTCGAGTTAGCCACGGGGCAACAACCGATGACTCCGCACACTTTAGCTGTTGGCTACAAAGGCCCGAGTCCTTCAGCTTTCAAGTTTGCCAAGGGGTGGCATGAAAAATCAGACATGGCAAGGGCGTACTTAGCTAAGGCCGCGAAAAAGATGAAGAAGTGGGCCGACGCTAAGAGGAGGCACCTAGAGTTTGAGGAAGGTGACTTAGTCATGGTGAAACTCCTTCCTCATCAAAGCCGAAGGTTCGCCAAGGTTCATAAGGGGCTAGTGAGGCGCTATGAAGGACCGTTTCCTGTAGAGAAACGCATCGGTAAGCTAGCCTATCGCTTGACTCTACCTTCACACTTGGAGATGCATCCTGTTTTTCACGTAAGTCTACTGAAGCCATACAACGAAGACAAGGATGAACCAAGTAGAGGTGAGTCTAGAAGAGCTCCTACAGCAATTACTATGGTGCCAGAACGGGAAGTTGAGGAAATCCTCGCGCACCGAGTAATACCGAGACGTGGGAGTCATCCGAGCTACATTGAATACTTTGTTAAATGGAAAGGATCTCCCGATAGTGAAGCAAGCTGGGAACACGAGCTGGCTTTATGGGACTATAAGGAGAAGATTGAGGCATACAAGAGGGATGCGCCGAGGACGTCGCCACATTAAGTGGGGGAGAATGTAACGCACCGCTCATGTTTTGCCCAAAATGCACAAAGGCTCGCTGCCCAGAACTGTCCAAAGGTGTCCACAAATGTCTTGGGTAAGTCTGGAACTCTCTAAAAATGTGTGGAGCTTGTTGGGGAAGCGTGGAAGGTTCCAGAATACTATAGATAATTGTAGAGACACCTAACCCCTTTGTAAATATCTAGATATTTTTGTAGAGTATTCTAGATACGACATTGTAACCGTTGGATCAAGTAGATCTTAGCCGTCCATTGAGGAGGTGGAGAACTATAAATACCCCCTCCCCCTCATTCATTTCACACACTCAAGAAAGTGAGAGTGTTGTAAGTACTTCAAGAGATCAATACAAAGTTCTTTCTTTGAGTCTCTTGTTCCTTTGTGTTCCTTCGTGAGTAGGCTGACTAGCAACTTAAGGCAAGAAGTTTGCTAGGCCGCACGGTTCGTTGGAATTACGACCAAGTCCGTGACAAAAGTCACGGGCTTTTCTTCCTCCGTAACGCTGAAACTATACGAGTACCAAATAGGACTATGGTACTTGATGCTTTTTATTTTTTACTCGTATCTTTTTTTAATATTCTATTTTTAATTCTGTCCTTATTAATTATAGTAAAAGTGAAAAGAGTAAAAATTAGTCAGAAAAAATATACTAGTATTTAATACTCTTCTTAATAGGAGTAAAAGTAAAAAATTTACTTCTCTGGTTCTATTTATAAGTCACTTCCAACATGTTTTATATAGACTAAGAAAAACCTTAAATTTTTTTAACTCTCACTTAAAATTCAATAATTTTTCAACTTTATTCCTATTTAATATAAATTATAGCTCATATGAACAAAGTCAATACAGTAATAAATGAAGGGTAAAATTTTACATTCTTAAAAAATTTTTTCTCAGTACCCTATAAATAAGACCAAAAAATAATTACACGCCCTCACGAGGGCACAGGTTTCTTCCTGCTAACAAGCAAAAGTTCTCAAATTTTTGAAGATAAAAGCTCCCCCCCCCTCTCTATATGTATGTAATGCATAACTCTAAAAAAATTTAATAAAAAGATATGCCATTTTTATCTTTAACTCTGGCATGATTTAAAATAAATCATAATTTTACTTTGTTTCTCTACGATAGACTTAGGATCTTCAATTAGTGGGTGATTTTTTTGACAATTAATTATGTTATAATAAAATGTGATAGATTATGAGATGAAGATAAATCAAAAGAAATCACCATTCTACTCCAAATAAAAAAGAAAGAAATCACCATTACATGGTTTTTGGAAGGTGAGGTTCTCCTTCTTTTCCGTTGGAGCGCGGGCCCCAAGATAATGAACAGTGTAGATTGGAAATTTGGTGCATAGGACGCTAGTGGGGTTAGTTTTGAATAATTATTATGGTGATGAGAATCATTATGATTAAAATCCAGTCAAGACTCTTAGATTGGATGTGACCTAAAATGATGTTATGGCCCGGTTTTCTTTTTGTTTTTTCATACAATTATTTCTGGGTTTTCCTGACTGGCTTTGTAACAAGGTATTGAAAACTAGACTTTAGATTGGTCAAGACACTGGGACCAAAGATTAATGAGTCAGATTGGAATTAATCCGTGAATCAAACTGATGGAAAATAAAAAATAAAAAATTAATTTAAATTTTCATCATGCCATTCAATAGACTAAATATTAATTTAATATTACCTTTGGTTTTTAATATAAAAGATAGTTTGACTTTCAATTTGATTTTAGATATAAGATTCTGATTCACCTTTTCTTTTATATTTATCTATTTTTTTAAAATCATCCTTGTAGTAGTTGCATATGTTAAAAATTTTATTAAATAATAGCTCTAATTAATACACATGATTAGTAATGATATTTTAGAAAAATAACACCTATTTATTACAAATAATTAATTTAACTAATTTTTTTTAATTTGCTTAAATTAATCAACTAGCTTTTATAGTAATAACAGAAAGTAGTGCATTGAATTCCTAACAAAACAGTTATATACTTACATTTTCTTTCCAATTCCCTTAACAAATTGAAATCATAGTATCATACTATTAAGATCACTGAATATTTATTATAGTAAAATAACAAATAAATTTATGGTGGCAAAATATTCCTATCTACAATTTTTTAGTCACCAAACTAATAATTATTTAGCACTAAAACAACTTTTTTTTTAAAAAAAAATCACAACTGAGTTAACTCGTAAAATCACTCAAGCTGACCCACCGTCGGGTTTTTTCTGGCAACTGGACTGGCTAATTAATCATTTTTTGTCCAACCCGACCCCGATCGAGTCTGATTCTAAATACTCCTCTGGTCCTTAATATAGGACCCAATTCTTAAGTTGGTTTTGATCCTAAATATAAGACCTATTTCTCATATTTATCATTTTTCTCTAAATTACCCCTATGGATACTCCCTCAACCATAATCAAGTAGAAGAGGGAGAGAGGGTATTAAGAAAGATGATTATGGTATTTAGGAAAAATGTGTCACTTTTCTTATAATTAACTAACTTACCTAACTTCCTAATCTAATCAAATTAGTTAAATAGGTCTTATATTAAGGACTGGAGGAGTACTATGCTCGGCGATAAAAGCAAGAATACCGTAACGACTTCTTTCAAAGTCATTGATATGTCCTTTCTTCCTTTCTGAAGCATGAAATAATTTTCCCTTTTCAATTAAAAAAAAAAATAATTTTCCCTTTTTAGAACAGTGACTGATGACTAAGTCGTGATTCTCTCTCTCGTCGCACTTTCCTCTCCTCTTAAATTGGCATCAATCTCAACATTCAATGAAATTGTCTTCCCCTCTCAATTTCTTATTCTGATTACAAAATAGGGGCCCCACATTATTTTCTTGGCTAAGAATTAATGAATTAATTAAGAACCGTCTCTCACATTCAACCCGGCCGCAACTAAAACGATTTGACCTGACATCCGATACTTGGTGAAATACCAACCGACCACATAAACAGGATAAACATTAGAATTTTTGGACATCTCCCCTTTCCTCTTTCTCTTTCTCTGTCCCTCTCTTCCCTTCCCACCTGATTTACAACTGGAGTGAGGTTCATCGTTCTCTTCACTATCAGTCTCAACATTTCTCTCTCTCTCTCTCACACACCCCATGGCTGATCCAGTGAGGTTAGTATGCTTTCTCTCTCTGAACTACACACTCTGCTTTCTCATCCTTCATGTATATATCTATACTTGCATCTTCAAGCTTCTATCCTCCACTTCCTATCCCTATATTAGGTGATATACCTCAAACCACAAGTGTGGGCAGCAGGTTTTGAACTAACAGAGCACAAGTAAACAAAGAGATTACGATGACATAATCATTATCATCGAAAGTTCATGAAATATCTTTTCTATGCATTGCACATTTTTGCTCTAATCCATATTAAACAACGACACTCTGTTTTATACTCAAAGCAAAGGCCTGGGTTATTGGTTTCATTATTTGAATTCAGTATACATCCTTTATCATCCTTTGAGTTTGCTGGTTTTTCGTAGTTCAAAACCCTGGCATACTATCTTCGCATTCTTGATTACAGTGGCAGCCATGGTGGTTCAGATGCACTTTCCCAACTCATCTCCTGCTGACAAACACTCCCCAAACGTGTGGATCTTCATGGCATGCTTGTTCCTTCATGGCTTCTCATCCGCCTACTACAAAGTCTCACGCTTCCATCTCAAATAATGATGCCCCATTTTTCAAACTCTCATCTCACATATCTACAACCTTGGAAAGCATGGCTTGTACTGTACTAATACCAGTGCCGGCTTCTAAACCTGTTTTAGCGCTCATCATCACGATCTACCTCACATGGCTCCTCATATGCAAGAAGATGGGTTCGTATGTGTACGACATGTGCAAAGGAATTGAGCGTCATCATGGCCCAAGGGACAACCAAGATGTTTAGACCATTTTCAAATTATGTAAGTGATAATTACAACGTTGGAACTTTGAAGGATCCTCCTTCTCCTCTAGGCTTATTCACTAGTTCAATGATATAAGATAGTATATATGGGTGAAGAATG